GCACCCCATGGGAGACCAGGAGAAGCACCTGGCTCCTGCCATCGGATCAGCGCGGTGCGCCGGCCACAGCGTGCCGGCCGTGGCGGCCATTAGAGGGTGAACCAACGGCAAAGGAAGACCTTTCTGTCTCTCACTGTCCACTCTGCCTGTCAAAAATTTTTTTTCATAGAACATGCGTATTTAAAAATACATGTGCATTATTTTCAAAATGTTTTACATTGGCATAATTTATCTTTTAGCTCCACTTTTCATGAGCTTTTTATAGCACCCTCATGCATGTGTCATGTCTGTCTACGCATCATCTCTTTTTTCCTGATAGTAACAAACACCCAGAGCTTGACTTAAAGACAGCGAGTGACACTGATGTGTTAGCAAGCTTTATGTTCATTGTTTCATTTCCTTGACTTCACATACCAGACTCATACGTCACCATCAGTCAGCATAGACCCATCATTGCTGCTATAACAAGTGGCCCTACAGAGCCCAAGAGTGACACAGGCCTATTTCCTGACAGTACAACATCTCATCGGGCATCCCATGACACCTGCTCCAGGCTGTCTTCACCACGGGGGCCCGGCCTGCTGGAGCCATCTCCACCCGGGGTCTTCCTGGTCACTATGGCAGAGGGAAGAGGCTACCCAATGGCACTTAAGACTTCTGGAGATTCACACTCTGTACATATTTGTCAGAAGATTTTTACTTTTTTTTTTGACAGGCTGAGTGGACAGAGAGAGACAGAGAGAAAGGTCTTCCTTTGCCGTTGGTTCACCCTCCAATGGCCGCCACAGCTGGCGTGCTGCAGTCGGCACGCCCTGCTGATCCGATGGCAGGAGCCAGGTGCTTCTCCTGGTCTCCCATGGGGTGCAGGGCCCAAGCACTTGGGCCATCCTCCACTGTACTCCCTGGCCACAGCAGAGAGCTGGCCTGGAAGAGGGGCAACCAGGACAGAATCCAGCACCCTGACCAGGACTAGAACCCAGTGTGCCGGTACCGCAGGTAGAGGATTAGCCTATTGAGCCGTGGCACCGGCATAATTGTCAAAAGATTTTTGACCTCCTGGGACAGCATCTCAGATTCTACCCATGCTCATGTAGCTTTGAGCAAACTCTTGCCCGCACCTGAGTTCAACTCCATCCTCTATGAAGCAGTAGTCACAACAAGGCCAGTCCCTGCTCTGTTACACTCTCCTCTCTAGTAGATTAACAATGAGACAAGAGGTGTGGGGCGTGGGGAGCAAGCAGCAGACTCAAAGAAGCTCACACCATTTCCTTCCAAGCACGGAACTTTGTCTTGGGAGCCACAGGAAGCCGCTCTGGAATCTTAAACCAAGGTATTACATTTTAGAAAGATCCCTGCGGCTATGGGATGGTGAATATTTTAGGGGTGAGAGAAAAGAAAAAATGTAGAAAGCCCCGCAGAGGGGCCAGCCTGCCTTTCCAGGCTGTGAGGATACTCAGCTGGCAGACAGAAAAATCCCACGCGGGCATGACTGTGGTGAATGTGAAAGGGGGATGGGGGTGGGGGTGGCTTGGCTGAGCGAGGAAGGTGGCAACTCCTGCGGAGATGGGACTCCAGGGAGGAGGAAGCACAGAGGGTTTCGAGTTGGGCAGGTAGAGAACAGGTGTCTGTGGCCCTGCAGGTGCAGGTGCCGTATCTGCAAAGCCATGGCTACTCACTGCCTTCCTGAATTCAGCACTTTCATTTTTTTTTTTTTTTTTTGCATTTCATCGATTTATTTGCATTTTACTTGAAAGGGAGGGAGAGGGGAGAGGGAGAGACAGAGAGTGGGAGAAAGAGAGATTTTGTCTATTTGCTGGTTCACTCCCCTCTACCACCACTACCAAATGCTTGCAACAGCCTCCACTGGGCCAGGCCAAACTCAAGACCTCAAAATTCAGTCTGGGTTTCCCATGAGGTTGTCAGGGACCCACATGTTTGAGCCATCATTGCTGCCTCCCTCCAGGGTCTGCATTAGCAGGAAAGTGGAGTCGGGAGTAGAACCCAGGCATTCTGATGTGCAGTGCCTGGGGTGATGCGGGGGGCTTAGAGGACATCGTATCTGCTAGGCCAAACACCAGTTCCCATTCATCACTTTTAAAATATGAGTATCTCGTGGGCTGTAGCGTTTGAAGCCACTGTCACTCGTGGGCACCTTTGTGTGAGCTCGGACAAAGCACTTGGCTCTTTGATCACCAGTAAATCTGGGTAAACAGCGATTCCTCCCCCATCTAGCCCACAGGGCTGAAATGAAACCCATGTTGGAAAGCAATTTATGTGTTGTAAAGTGTTGTCTACACGGCAGGCACTATGATTATAGCACATAATAATATAAATAATCATTCGGTGGCTAGAGGAGGATTTCAGAACCAGTCTTCTTAAAGAATACAAGAGTCTGGGTCCATCATAATTGTGTTAATCCATCCCTGGCATCCACCTGACACTTCCCTGTTTGACACACTGCTTCTCCGTTTATTAGCCGAACAGATACTTCTCTGTGTAGTGAGCGGGCTGAGAAAATAACTGTGTCGGCGAGGAAGCGTGAGGCACAGAGAATTTAAACACATTTCCCATGGTCACTCATTTGTAATCCTCAGACATCATTTTACGCCTAAACCAAGATGCTCCCCTCTGTAGCAGGTGGTCTGTTAAGAAGCCATTCGGCTATCTGGTTCTTTAGATGGTGGGTAACAGGTGTCACGTTGATGGTGCCTACAGATGCTGCTCTTGCCTACCTAATATCGATTCTGCCCTGGTTGCTTAGAAGCAAACCTGTGATTGTATTCAGTCTAGCAAAGCACTCAGCTACAGCACTGCATAGCCCAGTCTTCCCTGTGGCACCACAGGGCTGTGGGACTCGGTTCTCACCAATTACAGATGAAAACACTTGGGACATAGGAAAGTTTTTTTCAGGGAACCCACTTGCCTGGGAGGCGGAGCCTCTTCGCTTGTTGTTACCTACTTTCTGGAATTGGGTCATAATGGCTGGAGTTCCAGCAATCATCTTGGACCAGGAAGTGACCTTCAGCATATAATCTCAAGTTCTCAAGTCCCTCTCTCAGCCCTGCACTGCCTTACCTCTACACTTTAACATGACGAAGAAACAGAATACCTAAGTGACATCCCCATTTTCTTAGCTTTTCTGTTAAATACAGACAAGTAGAATCATAACTGATCCAAGAATATAACTTAGTATTTCTCTATGCTGGGTCTTCCGTCAAGACCCTCAGCCTTTAGATGTGGGAGGGTGGAGGATCCCCCAACCCCAAACAGTCATTTAAATTCAGATCCCAATTTTAAGCCAGTTTTTGCTAACAGAGGTGATTTCTTGGGATGATCGAGTTGGAAGGTCACCCACTACCCAGTGTGTGGTCTTTTCTCCGATGTGCTCAGGCCACAGAGTGGCTGTGCGCACTTCCTGTCTGCCAGGGGTGTGGCCTGGTGGGTGAGTAGCGCCTCTTTCTTATCTGGGTCTTTCTAGCGCCAGCCAGTAGGTTGCCGTGTGCATATAAATGCACTCAATTATCATCAAGGCACACGGGTGGCTGGAACCCCCTGGCCAGGCAAGTCAACTGGAGCAAATTGATGGTGCACTGGAGCACACGGGAGGCGTAACGAGCAGTGTGGGGACATCTGGGGACAGCTGACGCTGCTCCACCGCGTGGATTTCCAGAGGCACTTTAATGTCAGTGAAGTGGATTCCACGTTGGCAGCCTCCTACCCTCAACTTCAACTCCATACTCACTGACATTTTCCTTTCTTTCAAATTGGCAGCAGGAGCCAGGGAAAACCTAAATTTAACCTCCAGAGAATATACCACATGACATTTGTGGGCCTTACATGTTCGGTTTAAGACTTTGAAAGCTAATTTAGCCATGCGAGTCCTCCCTAAGTGCCGAGGGTTGATATACCTGAACTTCTGTCATTGTTAGCCACTGTGGTATCACTCTGTCTCTCGAGACTCCATTCTTTAATAACTGCTATCTTAAGCCCCAGAGGATAGCACTAATGAGTATTTGAAAATGCCAGGTTCTTGGCACCGTGTGCTGATTAAAAAAAAAAAAAAAAAAAACTAAATAACAGCCATCAGTGTAATGGTCACTCAGTGAGGGGTGTGGGCCATGCATTATGCACAGCCTGTCTCGTCATTTCCATCTCTCCCCTGATTTCCCACATCCTAACTACAGGCAATTAAGCGGCTCCTGGACCAAATCTTAATTAATTTGAGGCTCTGTGACCAAGGCCCTGAAATAAAATGCCATATAAGCCATACATATAAAAAGTCACAAAGCAATGAAGGGGACAGTAATACAAGGATTAGCCTTGAAGAGATCAATGAGGGCTGCTCAGTGACAATTTCTCTTCTTGGTCTCAGCTGCCCTACACAAAACAGTTGGCGTTCAAGTTTGAAATCTTAGTTGCAAGTTTCCAGAATCTACTATAACATAGCTGAGACTAAGCACATCTATTAGATAGCAATTCCTTGGGGGCAAAAGGGCCTTTCTTATTTGTATTTCAACACCCAGAATACAGTAGGTGTTTGTGGAGCACTGGCTCAAGTAAACACAATTTAATCATCTCTCCACACTCTGTTTCTCGCTTCAAGGTGCACAGCATGATTTTTATGTATGTATATAGATATTAAAATGGTTACCATATTCATCATCTCACATATGCATTTTATGTGTGTTTCTCTGTGTCAATAACATGTAAAATGTACACTTTCAGCAAAAATTCCAAGTTCAGCACGTTATCACTAAGTACAGTCCTCTGTTGGGCTTTTGGTATCTAGACCTGTTCGTCTGTACACCTGCTACTCGAGATCCATGGACCCATATCTCACCAGCTCCTCCTGGGAACCACAGTTTTATTGTCTATCTCTGTGTATTTGACCTTTCAAAAAATATTCCACATATCAATGTGAGATCATAGAGTCTTTTATGCTCTGTATCTGGTTTATTCCACTTATCTTAGTGTCCTACAGATTTGCCCATACTGTTGCAAATGGCAAGACATCTCTTTTAAAAGCTAAATAGTATTTCTATCAATCAATCATGTATTTATCACCTGTCTGCCTATGCCTCCATGTGTCTGTCTCCATCTCCACCTCAGAGCTTCTTTGTCTATTCATCCACCAATGGACATTTTTGCTGTTGTGAATAATGCTGCAGTGAATATGGGAGTGCAGATGTCTGAACAAGGTCATGATTCCATTTCCTTTGGGTATACTCTCAGAAGAGAGGGTATTACCCACCCTTGACACCACTAGTGATCCACAGTGCCAAGCAAATCTGGACTTTGGTCTGCTGATTATATTAGCTGCAATCTAACTGATACATGTGAGTCTAAGGATGAGCTATTGGTTTGGGGGTTTGCACCTAGAATAAGCTACTTTCTTTGGAATCCTTAAAAATTCTCTCTAAATTTGACCTTCATACGTGGCTCTAAAAAAGTACCATTGACATTACTCTTTCCTCCATAGCATTTTAAGTCTTTAAAGTGATAAAGTAATACTAAGCACAAATAGTAGAATTCCCATCTGGTATGCATATGACTATGGCCAACTCTCTGGCTATGAACATTATCAAAGTATGCCTGTTTATTTAAGTCTTTGCTAAGAATATTGGTTTTTATTTTTCAATTGTTTAGTTAATGTCAATATTAGCCTGTGTCATAAATTAATCACGAAGTAAGCCAGCTCACTTACAGAGAAAAGTAGGAGTCATCACACATCCTATCATTAAAGAATGGTGCATCTTGTCTCTGTGTTCACTTGTTCTAGTTACAAACACGGCTGCTTTGTTCTGACCCAAGACCTCAAAAACCTTAGCAAGGCTCCCTTTCCCTTTCCGATAGATGAAAATCTTCATAGCTACAAAAGGAACAAAGAAGGAGAAAAAGGATAAAAAAATAAAGACTCTCAAGACAGAACTGCAGATAAAGCATTAGGATCAGTGAACAGTGGTCTGCTGCCAGTATGCTTGTCACTGAGTCTAGACAGAAGATGTCCACCCAGAAATAGGCAGCAGAAATGCAGGACCAATTCGACAAGACATCCTCACTTTGGGGAAGTGGCTATGCCCGGAAAGGAGATGTTGACTTTGGCGTTAGCATTTCAAACAGCCCTGCTTCACAAAGTGCACAGGGCCAGGTCTCCATAAGCAGAGCAGAGACTCAATGTAGGTCAAAGAGAAGAAATGCAGAGGAAGAATAGGCCTGATACTTCACTCCTGCCTGGAGGAACTCTCATCCGTCAACTGCTAGGACTTCACATGTGGATTTGAGCAGGTGGGATGAGTGTGCCACTGTTAGGTAGATTTCAAGGCATTGGCTACTAAGACTGGGCCGTCCCAAGAGCAGAGATTTCTGTAATCCACTCTGCTTCCGGATGGCTGGGAGATTTTCAAAACTACAATCACAATTAGCAGATAAAACTTCGGCGCAAACAGTATTGTGCCTCTGAAAGTTTCAAATTCGGTAGACTTCTTCCTTTTTGTTTCCCCTACTTTATTGGCAGGAACCCCAGTTGGCACGGCTTTATCTTGAGCTCAATCCATCAACAATTCAAGAAGATTAATAATGCATTTATATCACATGCTAGTAGTAGCATAAAATTATCTATAAATGTTTAATAAATATTCTGTAATGCTTTTGGAACACATGTTATAAATGATAAATAAATAACAATGGATTTCTTATGAAATATTTATCCCCAGCATGGTTATTGTTATGTTATAACTGCTTGGGAAGCCATTGCTAACACAGTGAATTGAGTTATCAAAGTTATGGATATGTTTAGCCTGCCATTCATAATGGAACGTGCAACGCTTTCCATGAAGTTTAAGACACTGGAAACAGTTGCTGACAAATTGTGACTGGCGGAGCCACCCGTCATCCTTAGCAGTTCACAGACATAAAAGATTGGCAACCACTTAATAAACCATGCATCAGGAAATATTGGGTCTCGGGATCTTGTAAACACTGTAGACTACGGATTCTTTTCTGTGAGTGCGCACACCGCAATGTGGATTGTCCCCCAAATGACCACAGGTTCATCGGGGCCTGGCGTCCAAGTTCAGCAGAGGACTATGCGTGTGGTGCACAAAGAACATTGCCAGTACTGAAGCTCCCCACTGAGTTTCACGTTTTGAATACTTGCTTTCTCAAAGTCAGCTGGATATTTTTCATCCTTTTCAAATTAAAGCATCATTTGCATATAGTAAACTGGTACAATTCCATGAGTTATGAAAAGAAATGCCCACAGTTAGGTAATTACTACCACAGTAAGGCAACCCTCAATGTTTCCCGAAGCCCCTGGAGTCTGCTCTCTCCCCTGCTTCCAGCTCCTGGAAACCAATGATCTCTTCTCCATCCCAATGAATTGTCTTTTCCAGACTGTCATTATTAATGGAATCATAAGATTAGTGCTTTTTGACATTGGCTTCTGTATTTCAGCTTAATGCATTTGAAACTTGTTCACGTGATTGCATATCAGTAGTTTATTATTTTTCATGGCTGAGTAGCATTCTCATTTCATAGACATATATATATTACTATATTACATATATAATATATAATTAATTCACTGGTTGAAGATCATCTTTTTTAAAGATTTAGAAATTTGCTTATGTGAAGGGAAGAACACTGCGAAGTGAGGGAGGGACAGAGAACAACTTTCACTTGCTGTTCATTCCCCAAATGCCCACAGCAGCCATGACTGTGCCAGGCCACAGGCAGGAGGCAAGAACTGCATCCAGATGTCCTCAGAGGGTGGCAAGCACTCTAGCACTTGGGCCATCATTCCCTGCAGCCCAGGGCCATCAGCAGGAAGCCTGATTAGGAGCACAGAGTGGCTGGGACCTGAACTGGAACTCCAGTAAGGGATGCAGGCCTCCCCAGCGCCGACTTAACCTGCTGCACCACAATGCCTGTCTCTTTATCCCACTTCAGCAAATATGGATAGATCTGCCTTCAAGTCTGAAAAACATTTTGTAAATCATTTATTCGCTTGCTTTTGTTTCCTTGAAAAGCCGAGTGTCAGGGATAAAGAGAGAGAGAGCTCTTCCATCTGCTGGTTCCGTCACCAAATGCCTCAACAGGCAGAAGCCAGCAGCCAGGAACGCCATCTGGGTGTCCCACATGGATGGCACTGGTCCAGGTACTTGCACCACCACTGCTGACTCCCAGGGTGTGTTTTAGCAGGAAGCTGGATCGGAAGCAGAGATAGGACTCAGTCTCCAGCACTCCAGCACATGGAGGATGTGGGAGTCCTCCATGGTGGCTCTACCTGCTGTGCCACAATGCCTGCCCCATGCTTTTAACACTGAAACACACGTTTCTGTGTGAATCTAAGTCTGTACTTATCTAGAATAGATAGTCAGAATGTAGCTGCTGGATCCTATGGTAAACATGTGTTCAGTTTCCTAAGAAAATTGCAAACTTGTTTCCACACTGGGTACTAGTCCATTCCCAATGTGTAAGAGTGCCTGTCACTCTGCAAAATTTTTAGAACATGACATTTTCATGTGTTTTTTAATGAGCAAGAGGATTTTGGCTATGTCAATCACTGCACATATTCGTTAGGTAGCCACATCAAAATGGATAAGGAAGAAACATTTTGCTGTCACGTAAAAGGGGCAGAAAGCCTCTCTGAATATTAATCTTGTCTGTTGGGCCTGGAAAGTGTCAGATTGGACAAGAGGGGGTCAGTCTCAGAGATGAAATGTAATTGTCAGTGATGCATGCTGCTTATCAACAAAATAAAAAACTAATCATCTTAAAAGTTGTCTTTCATACTGTATAAAATATTCTCATTCCAATGAGCCATACCAGCTGCCAGCTATTCCTAGAGTTTCATCTTGCCAGCTGTTACTCTAGTCTTAGTCTAACGAAACAGTCAACTAAGTTTTAACCTCATCATTCTTCAGATGGAATACAGAAGCTTAGATTTTCAAAGTAGCAGTCATTTAGCAAACACTTACCATGTGCTAACCATTTTAATTAATGAAACTGCACAATAACCTAAGAGGCAGGCATCACCATATTCATTTTGGGTGAGAAAATTAATTTCAGAAAGATCAAATAATTTAGCTGATCTTTCCCACTAGGGCTAGGAATTCAAACCTAGATTTATGGGGTGGCCATTTGGCAGTGTGGTCAAGATGCTGTTTGAGACAACTGGGACTGGGTCCTGGCTCTGCTGCTGGTTCCAGCTTCCTGCTGGTGCACACCCTGGGAGGTTGCAATGACGGCACAAGTATTTCAGTCTCCTGTCACTGACATGGTAGACTTGGATTGAGTTCCAGGCTCCTGGCCTCAGCCTGTTCCAGCCTTGATTGCTGCAAGCATTTGATGAATGAACCAGTGGATAAGATATTTCTATTTGTCACCCTGTCTTTGAACAAAAATTCTGTTTTTTAATGCAATATGCATTCAAGAGTATATAAAGACTCTAAAATGACCCTTGACTATACAATCAAATTATCTTTGATAAGGGTGCAAAGACTGACCATCAAGAGAGTGTTTAAAAATTAGATATCTGTATACCAAAGAATATAGTTGGCATCATATCACATAGATTACTTAGCTCCAAATAAATTAATGACCTCAATCAATAACTAAAATAATAAACCTCTTAGAAGAAAAGTTCATGACATTGGGTTTGGCAATTTTCAGATATGACAGTAAAAGAACAGTCAACATAAAAAATAGATAATAAACTTGTGCTTCTAAGGGCACATCAGTATCAAAAGAAAACCTTCAGAATAGAAGAAAATAGAAAGATGCAATTCATCTACCTGATAAGTGATTGATATCTAGACTGTATAACAAACTACTGTAACTCAACAACAGAAGCAAACAACTCAACTTTAAAAAGGACAAAAGGGCTGGTGCCACGGCTCACTAGGCTAATCCTCTGCCTGCGGCACCAGCACCCCGAGTTCTAGTCCCGGTTGGGGCGCCAGTTCTGTCCCAGTAGCTCCTCTTCCAGTCCAGCTCTCTGCTGTGGCCCAGGAAGGCAGTAGAGGATGGCCCAAGTCCTTGGGCCCTGCACCCGCATGGGAGACCAGGAGGAAGCACCTGGCTCCTGGCTTTGGATCAGCACACTGGCCATGGCGGCCATTTAGGAGTTGAACCAGTGGAAGGAAGACCTTTCTCTCTGTCTCTCTCTCTCACTGTCTAACTTTGCCTGTCAAAAAAAAAAAAAAAAGGACAAAAGGCATTTATCGTTTGAAGATGTAGAAGTGGCTGCTGTAAAAAAAAAAAAAATCAGAAATGATGGTGAGAATGTGGAGAAACTGGAACCTCTGTGCCTTGCCCATTGGAATGTACAATGGTG